ATTCTGACATGGGAGGGGCTTCTGTCATGTTGCTGTCTATAAATGTGTCACATTGATGCCCTCCCCCACTCTCCTCTCCTCCAGGATCCTGGTCCACCTCCTGCCTCCCCCCTGCTGGGGCTGAAGCCTCTGCAGCTGCTGGAGGTGAAAGCCAGGGGGCGCTTCGGCTGCGTCTGGAAGGCTCAGATGATGAACGAACACATGGCCGTGAAGATCTTCCCCATGCAGGTACCGGTGTTTGCTCCGAGCATCAGGGCAGCCGTCCTGACTCCCAACCCTTCCTCACCTCCTCCTCCTTGCAGAATAAGGACTCCTGGGAGACCGAGAGGGACGTGTTCATGACGCCGGGCATGAGGCACGAGAACATCCTGAGGTTCATCGCCGCAGAGAAACGAGGGAGCCACCCCGAGGCCGAGCTGTGGCTCATCACAGAGTTCCACGAGAGGGTGAGGAAGGGGGGCCGAGGGGGGGTCAGAAACTCCCGGGGGTGTGGGGTCGATCTCCTGATGTTTGTCTCTGCAGGGCTCGCTGTCGGGCTTCCTGAAGGGAAACATGATCAGCTGGTCCGAGCTGTGCCACATAGCCGAGACGACGGCGCGCGGCCTGGCATACCTCCACGAAGACGTCCCCCAACTGAAGGGAGAGGGTCCCAAACCGGCCATCGCCCACAGGTCTGCCCACAAACCCCCACACCTACAGATCAGACAGGAAACCCTAGTCTGCAGTGATGAGCTGCTGCCACACGGTGGAGCTGTGAGTCAGCGTTAGAGGATGTCACAGTTCACGCTGCTCGTTTTTACTTCAGGATCTCAGGGATCGCTTGTGTTCACGTGCTCAACGCGCAGCAGCTGCTCACACGCTGCTAACACGCTGCTCGAATGCTGCCAACATGCTGCTCGAATGCTGCTAACACGCTGCTAACACGCTGTTCACACACTGCTCGAATACTGCTAACACGCTGCTAACACGCTGCTCACAAGCTGCTAACACGCTGTTCACACGCTGCTCGAATGCTGCTAACACGCTGCTAACACGCTGTTCACACACTGCTAACACGCTGCTCACACGCT